AAAACGTGTAACAATTTGATATATAAAAAATGGCAAATAGAAATGAACCCAAGAATCTTTGGAGTTCATGGGGTAATGACGTAATATAGTCACATATGACTTCATCCTCTTTTTGTTTGAAACAAGAGATTTGAGGATGAAAATCAGTGAAAAAATTGTTAAACCACGGCTAGGGCCATATACTCTGTTTCAACGGTAGAAAATGACAGATAAAGCCAGTGTCCTCCGTTTAGTCCAGTCCGATCTTGATCTGCGATGTTTCCTAAACCAAGTTTAGGTTTTCTTTGGAGAGTCTTTTGGTGCCCTCACGCCTCACCGAACTCTTTCTTTCCGACCTGTTGCGTGACCATAATAGATTATGTGGCTTTAATTGGTTTTGTCTCTTGGTTCTGTTATGGGATCTTTTACTGCTCTTTGTTTGTGAGAGATGTGATATCCAAAAAGGTCATGTATTCGCTCCTTGTATCTATTCATCAACTTAGTTTCAATGCTGGCAAGTTCATCAGGCTTTTTTTTAGACGATTTACATGTCGCGTTCCAAACTGACTCTCGCGTGGCAAAAATGGTTTTGTTCTATCTTACCGGGTTGTCAAGCCTAGGAACAATTGTGTGAAGGGGTAGTACTTAGTCGCATTAGGAGATTTAGGTCACTGTTTAGTTAGCCTATAATGGCTTTCGTGGTTTGGCATTTCAAAGGGTTTCCGAGGAGGTTATCTAGTAGGCATAGTTTGGGCTTTGGTTAGTAATTTACTTATGGTCTTTGCCACTAGTTATGGGTTTCACTCATTCGGTCCATGTTTTAGTTTTGTTTGTCCGTTTTGCTTCTCCTTTATTCGGGTTACTAGGCAGGTATCCGCGCGTTACGCGGGATAGAATTAAGAAAAAGTAATATTTTAAGATTGTATGTTAAGCATTTACATTCTTCACAAAAACAACTACTTATTTTAATTAACAAACACGGTCGATATCAGAGACCATGTGCCTCGTCCCTTATCCGCGTGTCG